GATCTGGCCCCCGTGTTAATCCAATACATCTATCACGCGGCCCCTTTAGGGATTCAGATGCAGGTGACGAGAGATGGGCAATTTGTTCTAGCCGGTGGTCTTCTAGCCGAGGTGTTAATGGAGATGTGTATGGTCTGACAGGCTTATGGGACGTGTGAATATGCGGGACAACTGTGAAGAGTTAAAACGGGTGCGTTGACTGTATGTAGGGGCTCCAGGCACTGGTTTACCTGTGACTGTGCGATGTATTCGTGAGTGACCGACCAGGCCGATGCATGGTTTGCATTTACGGTGGCAGTACGGGCAGGGTAGGCCGGGAGATGCTAAGGCGATTGTGCTGGCGAGGTAGTTGGTAGTGATGGTCAAGCCTACTGGAGAGCTGCGAAAGAGATTATCGATGGGTGTAAAGGATACGTTAGGGGGTGTCAGCACCACGGTTAATTTCGCCCTCACGGATACTTAAATGACCGAGGTCACGCATGTAGTGAGTAAATACAAGAGGTTAGTCAAGAGTGTGGAGACGGCTCCTTCTGGTTCGCGAGTCTCTGTGCGAATGATTCGTAAGTAACCGACCAGGCCGATGTGTGAGCTGATATGATGTGTTAAGCTAGAGTCCTCAGTGCTTTTGGAAGGGGTCTGGTGGTAGTGGTTGTGGAGGAGATAGCAGATGTGGTGGTAGTGAGGGAGGGAGGTGGTGCTGTAGGCGGCGGCGTTCGTCACTGTGGTCGACTCGGGGGTTGCAGTAGGGAGAACGCTGTCGGCAATAGAGGGTGGAGGGACATCGATTATGGGAGTGTTCATCGTTGTGGGGTTTATAGCAGAAGGGACTGTATGGGTGTTCGTCCTGGGAGAACTTCACGTCGTGGAAATGTAACTGCATGTGTCCGCAGATATCCGATGAGGCCGGTTTCCCGTGTGGAAGGTGTGTTAGCCGTGTAGACAAGTTAGAAGGACTTGGGCGTTGACGGTGGGGATCCCGGGCGTTTGTGACCTCCGACCCGCTCTTGTAGCCCTGGCAGCAGCGATCCGATTGGCTCTGCAAATTTAGGCGCCGGTCTCCGTTGGTCTTCTCCAGGCCAGTCGATCCTAGGCGATGTCCTCTCAGGTCGTCGGGATGATTCGAGTCACTTCACAGAGTTCTTCATCGTGTC